GCCCACGAAGACGTGCTCCTCGCCTCGCAAACGGGCTCGGCCGGGATGAAAAAAACAAAACCATCGTCTTCCGTATGGAATTCCCGGAGGTTTCTCTTCAGTCCTTCTCCTCGTCTCCTGGAAGGTCCGGAATAGCAAGATGGCGTCCACCTTCACGTCCTGGTGGACACTGAGCTCGAGGTGGAACAAGCGGGCGCTGGTCCCAACCTGCTCCTCCTAATCCACGTGCATCTTCACGTGGGACATCAAGGAGACCTTGGTCCTGTAGCAATTCCCGCACTCGGAGCAACGGTACGGAGCTTCTCCCGTGTGGGTCCTCTCGTGTTCCAGACATTTGGAGCTCATGGTAAAGCCCTTCCCGCATACGTGACATCTATAGGGTCTCTCTCCGGTGTGGATCCGCTGGTGGACGATGAGGTGGGAGGTGTTGGTGAAGCTCAAGCCGCACTCGGGACATTTGTGGGGTCTCTCTCCGGTGTGGAGCTTCTTGTGGAGTTTGAGGTTGAACCTCCGAGTGAAGCTCTTCCCGCACTCGGAGCAGAGGTGGGATTTCTCAACCTTGCGGGAGCTCGGGTGGAAAAGCTCCGGGCTTAGCGTGATGCTGGGACGCTCCTTGGGTTTCTCCAACTGGTGGATCTGCTGGTGGGACGTGAGGGTGGAGCTGGCGCTGAAGCTCTTCATCCACTGGGGGCACTTGTGGGGCTGGTCCTGGGCGTGAAGCTGCTGGTGTTGGCTCAGGCTGTTCCTCCAGTCAAAGGTTTTCCGGTACCGGTACACCCGCTCTTCGGCACAGACCATCTCCTCGGGATCCTCCAAGATGTCTTCATCAGGATGCGACGGCTCCTGCTCCTCTCCAGGCCAAGACTCGGCTCTGGGCTGCTCTTCCAGGACTTTGTCCTCCTCGGGACCCCAACGTCCATCCCCTTTCTCCATCTTGAAGCTGGATCCGTTTGCTTCTCCTTGCTGGGAATCTCCAGGCTGGGAATTCTTCTCTTGGTGGCCACCATCACCTGCTGGTAGAGAACAGGGCCGAGATGTGACATCAAATTAGGGGTCACCACACGGAAAAAATGGGGGGTCTCCACACCCCAAGGGACCTTCCTACCCCTCTAACCCCACCGATCCCAGGTTTTCAAGGATGGACCCAAACTGGGGGATGGAGGAAAGACTCGGAGTAAGTCAAGGTTACCTGGTGGAACCGCGGGCTCAGGGCGGCTCTGCTGGGTGTCCTGGGACGGAGATGGCGGCTGGTCAACCTTCTCCTTGCTGTGGGCCTTCTTATGGGCGTTACAGCGGAAGTTTTGGGTGAAACCCTTCCCGCAGATGGGACACTTGAAGGGTTTCTCACCCGTATGGACCGTCTTGTGTCTCACCAGGTCGGAACTCTTCCGGAAGCTCTTCCCGCAATCACGACAATCCCGACCCTCGTAGGGTCTCTCACCCGTATGAACCCGACGATGCATGAGAAGATATTGCTGCCGGGCGAAACTCTTCCCGCAGTCGGGACAGACGTAGGGTTTCTCATCGGTGTGGACCACTTGGTGGGAGATGAGGTGGGAACTTTGGCTGAAGCTCTTCCCGCAAACCAAGCACTTGTAGGGCTTCTCGCCCCGATGGAGCATCTCGTGGATGAGCAACGGGGAACCGTCGTTGAAGCCCTTCCCGCAGACGGAGCATTTGTAGGGTCTTTCGCCCGTGTGGAGCCGTTGGTGACGGATGAGGTGGTTCCTCCAGTTGAAAACCCGGCCGCACTCTTCGCATTTGTGAGGTTTCCTCTTGGATTTCGATTTCAGTTGGGATTCGCTTAAATCAGCCGGATTGCCGGCGCCGGTTTCTCCCCAACCTTCTCCCACGTCGTGGCCTTCCGGCTTCCAGTGCTCGTAGCCTTCGTCCCGCGTCGCCTCCTCATCCTCCGCGTCTCGCTCCACCTTCACCTGGACCTTCTCGGGCTTCTCCTTCTCCTCGCTCGTCCACCCCATCCCTGTGGGGACAACGGG